TGATAATGATAATAAATGTTTTGTTTTGATATATAAATTGTTCGGGTTTTTCGACTAAAAAGCGACATTAATTTCTTGACAACCTAATACATTTTGTGATATATATACCAGCAAAAGAACACAACATGCACACTTCTATGATGTTGTGGGGGAGGGGTGGGTGAGTCACCATAGCTAACTATAACATCACTATTGCCACAACTTAATTTTCACTTTTTACCTCATTCACATTAAACAACGATAAGTGAAAGTTGACATTCTAAAAGTGTTCAAGTTACTGGGTTCCTTAAACTATGTTTCCAGCTTCTATACAAGTTTTACAAATGCTGTAAAACACAAGTGGTATATCAAATTTCAAGAGTGACATAAAAGATTTGGGAAAAATTTGCTTTGAAAATTATTTCTAATTTACAGAGTTGAACTCATAAGTTGAAAACTTTAAAATATTCTAGTCCAATCTGTGTTCAGAAGAAATGCAGATCATCACAGTAACATACAGTTGACTTGCGAATGTGATAATTCCATCAAACAGGTTAGTATTTTAATTAGCATTTTTTCGTCTACATCAGGAATTAACTTGTATTCATTCAAAGCTTCACTTGCAGTTTTCACATCACCATATTATAAAAACTAAAATTCTGTTTAACATTACTGCAATCACAATTATGTTGTACTTTTATAAACTAAAGAATGTTAACCATTCTTTGAAAATAATAAATATTATTTCGATGTTATATAATACAATCTCCTAAAATAAAATATTTTGTTTTGTTTAGTATTAAGCACAAAGCTACACAATGGAATATTTGTGCTGTGCCTACTATGCATAACAAAACACAGTATTTTGCATAATAAAGTCCAAGACTTATCACGGAGCCACCAGGGAGCCCTAAAATATGAGATATACGCAAAGGTTTTAGCTTCACCTGCCTTATGCCAATACTTTTATTCTAAAAAACCTGAAGGTTGATTAAAAATGTATGGAATATTTTAGCTCTGCAAGCCGCTCCTTGCATCTCCCATACAGTTACAATGACTCTGATGAATTTCTGTATGCTCTCTTTTATTCAATAAGTTATTCAAGTACATTGTGATCTAGACATTTACTCCAAGCCATTCTGTTTTCCACCTTTCTAAGGTATTGCTTTCTTGGACTTATGTATCTATACTGCTACAGTCAGGGGCTTGCCCTTATGCATTCATACCAATGAATCACAATAACTGCCAAAGTTTTCCTTGAAACAAATTTCAGTACGTAAACATATATATTTTAAAACAAAGTAAAGCTGTACACTGATCTTCAAATAATATCAAAAATTATTTATCATAAAAAGTTTATAATAAGACTATTTATTTAAAATACCAAAACAATTAATTAGACAAACTGATTCTTTATGTGATGAGTAATAATTAAAGGCTTATGTCAACAACTGAATGGCCATTACATATAGCTCTAAGTCAAACAGCTATTACTATTTATACGAATTATGGCACATTCCACATAATACATGCATAAAGGTTTGTTTCAGAGAAAATTAATTTTAAAACCTAGCTTGTTATAAAATTATCTTTTGTTTAGTAACATCATAAGTTCAACTAACTTACTCATTCCAGGAGCTGCCATGAAAATACGTGAAAACACAACCTGAGAAATTGCTTTAGCTGCAGCAACCTTAAAAAGCAATATTAAATACATGGAAAACATAACTGTTAGTAATAATAATAATTTTCATAAAATTCCACACTCTTACCATTTTAAAAAAAAAGTATTTTAATTTGAAGTTTCTTAACCCTGCATTAGTTTTCTGGGGTCTTCATGAATCCCAAATATTTTGTAAACATCAGCGCCAACAGATGGAAGCATTTACACGTTTGTTGTTCTCAGTAGCTTCAGTATTCGGCTAATTTGTGTTAAATTGTTACATTTAGTTTAGGTGGTCAAAAATAAACAAGCTGTAATATTCAATGTTCATTTATTGATTAATAAAGGAAAAATATTTTGAGTGTTAGTGTTTTTTGTTTCCAAAATAATAATTTATTATCATTTATTATTATTAATTTTTTATGATGAGGTCTGCTCGGACCTCAGAAGATTGACTATGGAAAAATTTTTACAGAAGATTAACGCAGGGTTAAGAAAGTCACAGTATTAGCACCTGATGTACAGAAATCTAAAGTAAATAATTATTTAAAGTCTTCAAAAAAAAAGCAGTTTGTTGTATGTAGATGTAAATAATCATAAAATGATACAAAATTTTATGGTAAAGTATTGTTAGTCTCTGTTGGCAATTTCATAAAAGTGTAAATGTAAAAATAACTTAGACCTGATATAATTTTCTTTTAAAGTTATACTCTAGTTTGTCAACTTTTGATCTGACTACTACCTGAAATTAAAAGTTGGTTAGAAGTAAAGATTTAAAAACATAAAAATAAATAAAAGGTTTTTATTTTGTAAAGGATACCTATTAACGTACTTCAAATCATATTAATAAAATCTAGTTATTCTTTTGTGTAAAGTAATAAACAACTGTCCATTATGTACAAGTAAAAGGCCACACGTCACAATGTTTTAGACTTATTTTCCAAATTTATTTAAACAAATTTATTATGAACATATGTTTATAAAATTAGCATAAAAATGTAGTTTATAATTCAAATTTTAATATTATATCTGTTTTAGTATCTTAATTCAAAATAAAATATCGAAAACAAAATGCTAAATATATTTTTTATGTGTCACGTTGCATGTGCCATTGTCTTATTGGTCAGTTTATACTGTATAAAGCCTATCATACAATATCTATAGAATTTCAGAAACTGACAAGTTAGAATATAAAATAAGAACCTCCCACCATTTGATTTGCTGAGATATCAATATATTTAACTAATTTACCAGAGTAGCCCCTCCTACAACTCTATTGTTTTAAAACGTTTTGTCTACTCATGCCAACATCTATAAAGTATGTGTATATAATCAACAAAAAGAGCACAATCATCAACTAAGTAAATCTAATAATCATTTGTAACTGGCTTGAAGGAGGAGGCTGCAGTTTTACTAAATATGCTGAAGTCTGTTGAATATGTCATTACTCTGAACAGAAATGAGATTTTTTTAAACCCAGATATAGCTTAGTTAGAAATCCAGATAAATTACAGTGATTTTTTTGCATACAAGTATAGTAAATTAATAATTTTTTGGTTTTCTAATATGCATTTTTGAAATCTACAAAAATTAATTTGACTTCCTCTGCCACTTAAGAGAAGGAACAAGGCTTATGGCGAAGCTTAGCAAGTATGACGTGCGAGTGCAAGTCAATTTTGTAACATTGTATGTAGTAGAAATCATTGCTTGTCTATATATTTATTAATTATTGTTCCATGTTTTAAGAAAATAATTAAAAAGTGAACATTTTCTTAAATCGAAAATGTAATCCCAATAATACATACCTCTTCTCACATTTACAGCTATTACTCAAATGCCAGGGTTTCTTCCTTTACCCATATAAGCATTGGTCTGATTTTTTCTCACTTGCTCTAGTCTTTTATACCCCACTTAATTGCCTTTGGTGATATTTGTCTCATGACACTCTCCACTTGTGTGAAAGCACCCTCTCCTGGTACTGAGAAAAAACATCTCATTCAGATAATGTTATCACTTTTTTTTGAGATGGCTCTTAGTGGAGAGGAAGGGTGGGAAAGTGTGAAAAGAAGTAAGTATTATTGGAAATACATTTTCAATTTAAGAAAATGTAAACTTCCAAAACATAATTACCTCCGCTCACATTTACTGCTTGAATCCCACATTGAGGTGGAGGGATCAGTGAGGTCATTATCTCCATTATGGCCGAAGAAGAAATGGGCACTCCCTAAGGTTTGGCAGAAGAAGAAACCAGGGTGTAGGTGCCAATTCAGTGCTATCAACATGACACAACAATGGGTTGGGGCAAATCATAGTTTATACATTGGGTAACATATCAATTGAAGGGAAGTCCTACAGTTTTAATCCCATCCTGTCATGATGGAATGCATCCATTGCCAAAGCATCAAGGATAGGTACAGGAGCCCAAATTGTCAGTAGTTGGGTGTTCCAATGAGTGGTCAACTCACTAATCACCAGTGTTTCAAAAAGAGAGCCAATCCAACAGAAAACCTTGTACTGCAGCATCTATTCTGTTGGGAGAATACATTTGGATCGAGACAATTGATCTGTTACTGCATTCATCACCTGTGGAACATGGAAAGCTTGTAGGGTGATATGACAGAAGTGGTCCTGATAAAGGAAATCCAAGGTTTGAAAACAAAGAGCCCTGGACCAAATGCCCTTTGACAGGAAATGCAAGACACCACAATGGAACTGTCAGAGTGAAGTCTGACAATGTTCCCCTTAATCCTTTGACTGCAATCTACTTACATTGTAAGTAAGTATGCAACTTTCATCAAAGTTCTTCATAAAAATGAAACTAGTTGATGAAATAGTTTTAAATTTGACTTGAACGGTCTTTTAGAAAAATAAAATATTTAATTTTGATTTTTTCTACTATTAATAATAATAATACATTCATTATTTAACCTGAATAGTTCACATGCAGTGTGATTTTTATTTTGAGTTTACAAATACTATTTCTTATCTCACAGTTTTCACATTTCATTTGTATAATCTCTAGAACTTTCTAAATGAATATCAAAAGTTTTTAAGGTAAATGTTTATATTTTGATTTCCATTTTCTCTGTTATATCTTTAACTCCAGATACCATCATCAACGTACAGTGCAATAAAATGTTTAAAATTAAGAAATGGAAGTAAGTACATACTTTTTAAGTTTTTGCAGAATATTTTTCAAATTTCTTTTTTGTCATATACATAATTTCACATCATTATATTTTCCTTTTTGTTTATTTTTTCATTTTCATTTTCAATTCTTTGTCATTTATTCATTATCCCAAGATTCACAACATGTCCCACGCAGTGCTCTGTTGTTATTATAGAGCGAGTCTGGGCAAGTCTCATGCACAAATTCCAAACACTTATGCTTGCACACATGAATGATGCCATCTTGCTTAGACATTTTGGTAAACACAAATAAATACATAATTAATTAAGATATAAATGTAAAACCTAAATGCAATCTAACTGTTTAGCAAACTAATACATATAAGGCAAGAAACACTTGCCAACCATTACATACCCCTCAAGACAACAATGGACTTAGCTTATTTTCTAATTTATATTACAGATCCATACACAGGTAGATGTTTCTTCAGGTTATAACTGAATATTGTGAATTCTGCTCTTTCTATTGGTTATAAACATGCCATTCAACTTCAAAGTGTTGCTTGACAACAGCTTTGACTTTGCAAGTGGGCATGGCTGACCTTAAACTTAGAAATATTAGAATATTATTTCACATCAGGAGAAATTCTTGAAGTTTCCCCCCAGCTAATGAGAGACAGCTGGAACTGTACTTTGACTGTCTATGCTGACAGTCTATTTATTAGGAACTCATAGTTTCTTGTGTAAAACCTCTTACACTTGAGAATTTTAAAAACAGTGGATCACGTGACAGCAAAAACTGCAGTTTTAATTGCTGTTTCAGATTTTTCATTTTAAAATAAAGGAATAAAACTTAGATAATATAAAACCTTAAATTATAACGTACTTGATATTAGTAATTTCATTAAAATACGTTTACAGAAAAGTGGTTTAATTCAATTTTGTATTTAACTCAGTTAAATCTCATGATATGCGCAGAAAGGGGTTTAAAGGTTCATTGCGTTCAAAGAGTTAATAAGCCCAGACCATGAAGAATCACCTTTTGAAGAGCAAGAAGTACTAAAACGTTCTGTCAGTAAGCCTCATCATCCTCTCATAAACCATGAAATTCCTGACTGTTGAGATGTGCACCCCATCCCTGAAGCAAGGTATTTATGAAGATATAGATCTCTGGATGAGGTGGTGGCAGAGAAACCCCTATGTTAGTATTGTCTCAATTTTACAACCCTTCGAGAGCAAAGAAGATCCTGAATAAGGAAACTGGGGAATCCAGTAAATCAATGTTTATGTCCCATCCATAAAGACCATTAAGAGAATCTTATGTGCAATCATCCCAAAGCCATGAGGGATTTGAGTGATGCCCACATTTGCTAAAGAGAAAGAACTATCCATGCAGTGGAAGAAGGAGACAGAAGTAAGAGCCCAACTGAGATATGTATTAAAAAAAAGATACCCAGACTGACAACATATTGAGTTGGAGCAATAATTGATGTCTCAGCTCTGAAGCCTGCAATGGTTGTTCTGGAAGTAAATTCCAGGTGTGATGTTTGGACACTTGACGTGATGGTGCCAGCAGTAACCAGTCATCCATGGAAAAAGTGAATAAAAATTTTCTCCAGAATGTCCAAGATCGCCCTCAATTTCATCCTGGAGAAACATCACTGAACCAAATATATGTCTTCATCTCACTAAGAATAAGATCACTGACAGTCTCAACCCAGAGTGACTCCCCATCCCTCACTCTAATTGTTGTACGATGCTAGATACCAGAGATGGGATGGGAGAGACCTGATTTGCCTCTGTGATGGAAATAATAATCCAGGAATTGAAACCATATATTGACTTGCTAATCATAATTTTTTCTCTCGAAATTCAACGTGCAAAGTAACTCCGTTTATCGTAGTACTGGTATGGAGAAGAAACCCATTAGTGAACGCTTTGTAAAGAAAAAGTGAGAATATTATGTGAATGAGATGTTTTTATACAGTACCAGGATAGAGAGTGCATTGATGTAGGTGAAGAGTGTCATAAGGCAAATATCTCCAAGGTCAATTAAATGGGGTATAAAAGACTTAAGTAAGTGAGAAAAAATCAGACTAATGCTTATATGTGCAAAAGAAGGAACCCTGGCAATAAGTGTGAGAGGAGGTAAGCATGTTTTGGAAGGTATATTTTAATTAACCTTTCATCTGTATTTTATTTATCTATATGACTGCATCAAAGAAAAATAAATATTAGTAATAGTAGTATTACAATTATTATTATTTTTATTCTTCTTATTGATGTTGTTGTTAATTATATACTGACAGTCTGATACTGACCTAGACATCTTCCCCAATCCGTGCATGGACACCCATCTGTTTTTTTTCTGTTCTTGTGATTTAGGCTTTCATCAAAGAACAAATCATATCCACTTATGTCATTGACTTTCTTAGAGAGAATAGATTTCAGATATGATGCTATTCTAAAAGTACACAAGTAAGCATATTTCCTCTTGTCACATGAAAACTGTATTGAAATTATTGAGTCTGAAAACATTTTAGTTAAGAGTGAACTGACATTTGAATGTTACTGAAGGAGTAATGCGATTTAACAATTTTCAATGTCCACAGAATTTCAGATTTTAAACAATCCAACCTTGACATAAATGGTGTCAGTGATTGCTGTGAGGTACACGTACTTGTGACTGTGTCAGCTGGGGGTGGACGAGCAAAGTTAGTTAGAATATCACTTCTATTTAAAAAAAAAGATTATATTCTTCCTGACGAACATAGTCCACCGCTTGTCGAACACAAACACATATGCTTCATGCTGGCAGCATGACTTTTTAAAGCCACTTCTCCTATGTTTGAGATATTGAATGCCTAATGCACAAAAACAAAAAACATCTGCAGTTAACTTGATTGAGGAGTTTTGTGTCCTCAAACGTTTCTCATGATAAGATGCAGAAAATATGTTCCAGGTATAAAGTGTGTACCCCAGGAGGTTAGAGGTAAGTTTACAGGCTTACAACTTATCAACTAAAATATTTATATAGTACAGTAAAACTGTTCATGAAAGCAGTGTTTTTGATTAGCTTGTAGAAGTGCAGAAAGGCCTTTAGAGTGTTACAAGGGGGGGGGATTCTGTTAGTGATTTATATCCTTTTAAGAAGAGCTAAGTTGTTGAAATATTATTTAATTCTTATTCACGTGCTTTCAGCCCAGCTACTATTGTAATAAAGATAGTGTAAAATGAAGACATTCTCATGACAGATAATACTCAGAGGGCTTTATATATAAAATTTTTGTTTAAGCAAACACAGCTATTAAACAAAACAGTATCATGAAAAAAATATATAAATTGGCACAATATTGTAAAATTTCTGATTTAATCAAGTTTTAGGAGAAACTTCTCATATGTTCTCATTTTGTTGATTACAGGATATTGAGTTGGAGTAATAATAGATGTCTCAGCTCTGAGGAGTAAGTCTGCCTTGATTGTTCTGAAAATAAAATCCAGGTGTGACGTTTTGACACTTGACGAGATGGTGCCAGCAGAACCACACATCCATTAAATGGTGTGTGCACAGGGCTAGGTAATGGAGGTGACAAGAAAAAGCTCTTTTGAATCAGCTTAGTCCATATGGTGCAGATGCTAGTCCAGAAGTAAAAATCATGAACTGCTGTATCTCAACCTCGTGCACAATGTCCATGGATGTAAAGAAAACTAAATATTCGCTCCCAGACCTTACAGCCATCAAGCAAATGCAAGCTCAACAGCTACTGGAGAAAGACCCAAAACATCATATTTAATGCACCAATTGAAGAAAAATCAAAGGCAGCTTATCACAAAGTGGCCTCCTTTTTCATGTCTTTTAAAGATTGTTCTGATTACCACAGTTTGGAACAACATGTTGTCAAGTAAGATTTTTTGTTAGAACAAAACAACATTGGGCCATCTGCTATGTCCACAACAGAGAATCAAACCCTGGATTTCAGCATTGTAAGCCCACAAAATTACCACTGTCTCATAGGCAGCCTGAAAAGCTAACAGAATAAATAAAGACACAAGAAAAAGTGACTAGAAATTCTCTCCAGAATGTTAAGGATTGCCCTCAATTGCAGGTTCAGAGCTCCTCACATAAACACCACTGAACTGAATACGTGTCCATCTCATTATGAATAAGATCACTGAAAGTATCAACTGAGAGTGACCCCCCTACCCCACCATATATTAGAGGTGGGATAGGAGAGACCTGATTTGCCTCTGTGCCCGAAACAATAATCTGGGAATTCATACCACATATTGGCTTGCCAATAATAAAATAAACAAAAAAACACTAAGGTGACACTAAGATTGCTCAAAGTATCTCCAATGATCGTAGTATGGATGGAGAAATCCATCAGCAAATGCTTTTTCATGAAAAGTGATAACATTATGTGAATGAGGTGCTTTTATACAGTACCATGATCGAGGGCACGTTCACACAGGTGGAGAGTGTCACAAGAGAAATATCCTCAAGGCAATTAAGTGAGACATAAAAGATGGGAGAAATGGAGAAAAAATCAGACCAATGCTTAAATGGGCAAAGGAAGAAATCTTTGTTGTTAAGTAATAGCTGTAAGTGTTAGAGGAGGAAAGTATATTTTGGAATTAAGCATTTAGGAGTAAAAAGCAATAATATATTCACACCTTGTACAACACTGGCTCCATACGTTCATGTACAAATTTTTACTAAAAATAATTAAGAATTCAGTTTTTGTCTGTGAAAGACTTGTAATTTTAACTAAATCTTTGAAAAATTTCATGAAGATACACAAAACATTTTAAGAGTTATAATATGGAAACCCTACTGGTCATTTTGTGGTCAAATGGTCGGTGTAATCTACCATGGCAGTAGTGCAAGGGTTGAACAGATATGCGAGTTGTTCAAACAAATACAGATAATGAGTGCATTTACCTTTGACTCTGTAACTCTTTGACCATTATCATCAAATACTGCAATGCCATCAGTCAATTCACTATAAAATAATAAGACTACACATAAGTTATAATTTTCCTATAGTGAAAATTTATTTCCAATAAGTACTTACCTCCCCTCACATAAATAGCTATTCCTTCAATACTGCCCTCTATATGCAAAAACATGTTTCACATGCCACAAGCCTTGAGCTCCCACATACCTTACAATCAACTGATTCAAATGCATCTTGCATGTAAATCATCATGCAACAACTTTCCAACATTAAAGGTGCAACACACTCTCTTGATACATAACAGTGGCAAGTTAACTACAATCCTAATGTAAATTATCTCACTCAAAACAAATCTGACAGAAACTGCCCCTAGAATAATAACATCCTCGATATAATAAAATCATGGAGGGATAGCATAAGAGGAAGAACCTTATTAACCTGTAAGTACCTCCATCGTGACTCACAACACAGATGGAGGAGCAAGAGGATAACTGAATGAGAAACAGAAACACCTGTGATACATGTTGATTGGTTCAGCTCTGAATCCAAAACCCAGCCACTGGGAACCAACATTCACACAGTGGTAGGATGAGGGATCTCAATCAAAGGGGTGAACTGTAATTTTGACGGCTCACTCCAAAGCTGCCACATCCCCTGTACAGAGATGGAGCATAAAATTGGTGAACATCTCATCTACACAAGCAGGACACCAATGCCCTACTCTAAACTGAATGATTTTAACATTACATGTATAATTTATCATTATCACATTCAGGAGAATGCCTTCATGGTCCACCACCCCAGAGGCTTGGAACTGGAAAGTGGTAAGGACTCCCATACTACACTGGAAGAAGAAAGGGTAGAAAGAGTGGCGGAGAGTCCAGAGGAACATCAACACCTGAGACAGTGCAATTAAACCCTATTTTCAAAAAGCAATAGAAGGCATGGAAAGGATGGGTAGCTGTCCCCTTCTGCTTTACCCATGTAATCCATGGGTGAGTACGGTCTGGGATGAGCATATTAATGAAGCAAATATATCGCGAGTACAAATCAGCAAGCGATCATGTGGAACACCCCATCTCAACAGTGAGGGTGTTATGGCCATGGAAGATAGAAATAAGCAGTCAACATGGCCTGAGAGTGTGGATTTGACTATGAGAGGCATACCTGGTCATGCATCACTCGCCATAGAGTGGGATCCAGACAGTAAAACAGAAAAAAAAGGGAAAGTCCCTGAAAAGAGACAGAGATATAAAAGATAACTTATCCAGTCCCAGCCTCACCAAAATCTGAAGAATGGCTACAGGCATAATAATATAACCCAAAGAGGAAGATACAGTAATCCAAAGCAAATAGCAAAATATGAACGTATGTGAAATAGTTCACATGCTTGGTTGAAGAATTTCCTCCAAGGGACGATGGAGATGAGATGCCAGGGAAAAGGTAAGGTGCCTGATCTGATGAGAAGATACCTGGAACAATTACAGGAAGAAGATGATAAAGAAGAATAAGCCAACTGAATTAAAAGCTGAACCCAATTGGTCAAGGTGGAAGGAGTAAGTTCACAAACAGAGGATGTCTGCTAAGGAATGAATAATTGGGAATGGGCACCATGGAAGAAAGCCATGCAGGCAACATAGCAATGAAGAGCATGACAGGACATAGTAGCCTATGCAGATCTGACCAAGGATAAAGATGGTAACTGGAAGGAAGGAAAATAAGTAAGAAGGAGGAATTACCCTCTCAAGCCGCTGAAGTTTTGGTAAGGAATGATCAATCCAAGTAAAAGAGAATATATGTGGAGTGATATAGAGTAAGTTAAATGTTGATGGCAAATAAATCTGACCTCCGGCATTCACAGGCTAAGAGGAGAAGGAAATAGGTCTGAAGGGATCATTGAAAAATCGATCATGAGGGCAGTGGTTCAAATGGAGGCAAAGTGAGGCAGTGAAGAACCATATTAACATCCCAATCCAGAAGGACAGCATGCTGAGGTGGATGAGTAATCTGGAAGGAATGCAACAAGAAGGACAGAATAGGAGAGGTAAAAACTTTATGGTACTAGGAAAAACAAAAAGTATGGGATAAGGCAGCCCAATAACCTGTGATGGAGAAGACAGAATACCCTTGATCAAAGAGCCAAGTGCGGAAATACATAATATAAGGAGGAGGTGTGGGAATGATGGTTGTACTAGCCAGTAAAAAGCAATCAGAAGGACTTAACATGATGTGGCATGTATGATTGATATCACCTTGTGAAGAAGATGGATGGGAAGATCAATCTACGAGTATTTGTTGGTTCAATCTTGACTGAAAGCATCAATAGCCAGAGTAAGAGGATGAATAACCAAAAACCAAAACAGAGGTAATTTGGTATTGATGCTTGTGGCAAATGCATCCAGGTGAGGAGTACCTCACTGAAGGTATAGCCACTGAAAAACAAGAGGATCGTGAAACCACTCCATTCGATAAACTTTGGATGGGAAAGACGATCCACAACAAGATTGAATGCACTCAAAACATGACACATAATGATATGAATGCCAAGCATGTGGGCCAAAAAAAAAGAAAAAGAGATCCAAGGTCTAGTCACAAAGGGAATGAGAATGGGTGCAGCCAAGGTTTGACCACAAAGGGTGCTATCTTGGTAATAGATATAAACCACCACTGCAGAATTAGAATGGACAATGACCAGATGATTCCTGGCAAGATGAAGAAAATGATCCAAGGCACAACGTACAGCCAAAAGCTCCAGGATGTTGATATGGTAAGATGTTTCAGCAGGAGAGCACTGACCTGAAGCTTCCTGCTGATCGACCCATGCCCCCCAGCCCTGAAGGAAAGCGTCTGTGAAGATATGTAAATCTGGATGAGGGTGAGGAAGTGGAACACTCACTGACATGGGTGCCTTGTCCAACCACCAATGCAGGTTGTCTACAAGGGAAGGAGGAAAGGAAATAGGAGCCTCCAATGGATCCCACACAAGATTCCATTAGTCGTGCAAAGTCCACTAAAGAGACCGCATATGTGCTTGATCCAAGGAGATAAGGGCTTTCATGGAAGACCACAATCCCAAAAGTTATAGAATCTCACAAGCTGAAAAAGAGGGAGTAGTAAGGGCATGGAGAATTGAAAGCTCCATTGAACAAAATGGAAGAGAAGAAGGTTGTGTCTGACTGAGATAAGTGTTGAAAAAGACATCCAAATGGACAAGATATTGGGTAGGTATAAGGAATGATTTCTCTAAGTTGATTAACCAGCCAACACAAATTGCCTCCAGGAGCAGCAGATGAGTGTGATGGGCAGACTCCTGTTCAGAACAAGCTAACAGAAGTCAGTCATTCATGTAATAATGGAACAACTTCCAAACAAGTAAACATTAGCCAAATGCTTTGAACACCAAACAAAAGATATATGGGGCCAAAGCAAGCCTGATGGGCAGGGCACAAAATTGATAAACTACCCCGTGATGAACGAACTGAAGATAGAGTTTTGAGTGATAGGATATTGGGATATGCAGGTAAGCATTCGCTATGTCTACCTTCATCATCCACAAACACGGAAAAAAGCCCACCTGAGGGTGAGAAAAGACTATTGTAAACTGGCCTACAACCAAAAATTGATTGAGGCAGGACAAATCAATCACAGGCCACCAATCCCTGGTTTTCTTGGATACTACAAACAGCGTGGAATAAAAACCTCAAGAAGGATGATTGATAGGTTCGATGGCCTATTGGGAGAGAAGATCTTGTACCACCTTGAACAGATTGATGGAAGGATCCTGAGGCAATGAAAAAGAAATGGGTATCTGAGATAATGGAGGAGAGGAAAGAAATTGGATGACAAGTCCCTCAGATAATACCCGAATAACCCAAAGATCTGTGGTGAAAAGTCACAAAAGAGGAACAAAATTGGACAAGAACCCACTGGGTAGTCACTGGTACTGTTGGCGATATGTCCACTTGCATTGAATAAAACAACAAAAAAGGCAACACCTGTAGGGAGGAACAGGTAATGGATGAGAAGGAATTGGATGGAAAACAGTAATAGGGGCATGTCTAGGCTTATAATGGGATAAATGATCCACCAAATAAGAAAGGGCAGTTTACTGTTGCACCAACTCCACACAAGATTCCAAAGTCTCAGGAATATTACTAAAAACATACTGCTGACAAAAAGGGGCTATACACAAGTCCCAGAGATAAGTAGGCAGTAAACAAAACTGGAACAAGGCCACGTCCGTCCCCAAGAGTTTCCAAAAACAGAGAAACCATGTGTGTAAGTCTAGAGCTGAAGAAGACAAATGTGCCAACATGGAGGTAAACAGGGAGAGGCAATCCCTCGAAAAACTCTCAGAACCTCTGTAGATCACCTCGAAAAGGATGTGGATAGTAGATAAGTATCGTAGGAGTGTAGATAGGGTAATATGAAGGCATGAAAATTGGGCATGGGATAAACGAACAGGATGATCAGGGTCTACCCCCCACCCCACGGGCAAATTCAATTCTAACTGTTAAGAATAGGATAGCTATTTATGTGAGTGGAGGTAATATATCAATAATAAATGGACAAAAATGATCATATTTGTCATAGTGAAACATTATGCTTTATTAGTTACTTAAGCCAACTAGTTTTAATAACACAATTACCATTACCATGACTGTGTTTACATAGCTTATTTTTAAACTCTAACTGGCAAATGGACAAGTTAATTTGAAGTAAGAAGTGGAGGAAAAAGGTGAACTAACAATATTCTAAAATACTACTCAAGACAAACAATTTTTACAATAAGAGACATTACAGTAGTCAGTCTGTTGTTTCTATATAAACACCCTACACAAATCTGTTTTGAATTATGATGAACGTAGTGTGGTACAAATTCATTTATACCCCTTCTTTTCAGAAAAACCATATGGGACCAAAGATCATAGTGTTTAAAACTACAATATAATATTGTCTTACAAAAATATAACTACCCAAGTCATTTATATCTCATTGTTTAAAGTTAGTACTGTTCTTACCTCTGTCTCATGAGAGGAATGTTCACACAATTTGCTGCAGCTACAGCAGCAAAAGGAACAAATCTTTGCATCAAGGGACTGGCTCTCTGAAAAAACCACAGATATATTCAAGATAATAAAACAATCCAACTAAATATCACATAAAAATAAGTGAAAAAATACTTAAAAGTGCAGCACTTAAACTGTAAGTGGATATAACCTTTAAAAATGTAACTGAAATATTTACCCAAGTTAATCAATAGACGATGGAAAAATAATTTTCAAGAGGTAAAATACGATAAATTGCAATACTTACTAGTCAAAAGGTTGTGCACAAATATGCGCCAAAAAAAAAGGATACTTATTGTCAAGAAAACAACAATAACAACATATATACTAAAGAAAATTAATATCTCTTGACATTAATGTTTTACCTCCTGAAATAAGATGGCCAGACTTCTGAAATGAATGTTTTAAGCCCTCAAGCAGTAACGCAAGACTTTCTAAAAGAATAATCTAATCCTTTAAGTAACAAGTAAAAACTTCCTGTACTAAATGTTCAACTCTTTCAAGTAATAAGGCCACTCCTTCTACATGAAAATCCTCACCCCTCATGTTACAGTTCTGGACTTTATAAACTGGATGTTTCAATTCTTAGAGCAATAAAGCCAAACTACTTGGACTTTTCAACAAAAATGTTTAACGAAACCAAATAGCTAGAGGAAGATTAGAAATGGAGATGGATCAAAATTATAAACCAAGTGTCTTATTAAAAACTTATTAAATTACTGTATTTTAAAAATAATTTAAATCTGTTGTAACAGAAAAGAAAAAATGGCATTTGGTCATCCTATAAGTAAATGTCCTAAAGGTTAAAATAAGTGTATTTTGTCTGTGTGACACTACATCCATCCCATGAGATTTAGTATAGAGACTGACATTAAAATTATCTTATAAATACACAAAAGGGCATTCAAGTAAAGAATTTTTGCAGAGAGAAGGACAGTGACCTACTCACGTGAGCAAATGGTACTTCTGTCAAGCAGTTTTATAATTTTATAAAGTACCATCAGTAATTTGAATTATAATTTCACTAAACATATTTCGTACTTAGATGTCTATGCACTTGCATCTTTCTTTCTTTTTGAAATTATTTTCACTCCTGCATGGAATTGGATTCTGGAGAGCCATCTCAAACATTAACACTTAATACTGTTGTAAAGGTTTCTATTGAGTAGTGGGATTCTTTTGGATTATTCAGAAAAATAATGAAAAGTACAATACACTTAACAAAAAGAAAAGTAATTTATTTCTCCTACAACAGGTTTTAAAACTTCATGGACAAATAGGCCTCACTTAAAAGCTAATCCCAATCACTTACTTGCTGACTCCTCCTGTATTTTTAGTACAAAAGTTATAATTTTCCTTTACTGAAAATGTATTTCCAATAAGTACTTACCTCTATTAACATAAATTGCTATTCTCGTTCAGTGCTTCCCTATATATGCAAGAAATCCTTTGCACATCCACAAGTCTTAAAACCCACATCCACCTTGAATTGATGAATTCTAATGTGTCTCGCATGCAAATTATCATGTGATAACCTTTAACCGATAAGAGCAAGACACACTCTTTTGATGCACGTGACTCCCTATATTCAATTCAAACAAACTATCACTTCAAGTGTTGGCAAAAATGGAAGCACTGATTAGTAATGGAGAGGAAGGGTTAGAAAAGATAAGTACCTACAGGAAATACATTTTCAGTATAGGAAAATTATAACTTCTGATCATACCACTTTCACCTCAAGTTCATGAGACTGGGGGAATCTCTTACCCCCTGACCTATGAACAGAGAATGGGTGTCGCCCTGTAGAATTGTCAGAATGGATCATTATCATATGATTTCTGGCCAGATGGAGAAAATGAACCAAAGCACAACATACAGTGAGAAGCTCCAAGATGTTGATATGATAAGACCTCTTGGCCACAGACAAGCATCCTGGAGCTTCCTGTTGATTAACTCCTGCCCCCTAGCCCTCAAGGGAAAGGTCCATGAAAATGTATAAATCTGGATGAGAAGGAGAAGAGGGGGACACCCGTCAAAATGTGGGTCCTGTCCAACCACCAGTGCACATCGTCGACTATGGTTGGAGGAAGGGTAATAAAAGCCTGCAAAGGATCCCCTGCAAGATTCCACTAGTCGTGAAGAGCCCAATGAAGATCCTACATATGTGCACAACCTATGGGGATGAAGGCTGCCACAGAAGACCACATCCCCAAAAGTGATAGAACTTGTGAACTGTAATAGGGGGAGTAGTAAGAGCATGGAGAACTGAAAACTCCATCAAATGAAGTCAAAAAGGAGAAGTTGGGGCTGACTGAGATGGGTGTTAAAAAAAGATCCATATGGGCAAGATATTGGGTAAGCTGAAGGAGTGACTTCTCCAATTTGATTAACCAGCCCACCCGAGCCACCTACAAGAGCAGCTGACATGTGTGGATGGGTAGACTTATGTTTGGAACGAGCTAACAGTAGCCAGTCATACATGTAATGATGAAAGTGCAACCAGAGAACATGTAAGTGATGAGCAAATGCCTTGACCATCTGACAAAAACATGCAGGGCTGAAGTAAGTTCAAGGGGCAATGCACGAAACTGATAAACCACCCCATGGTGAACAAACCGAAGATAGGGTTGCGACTGACAAGATATCATGATATGTAAGTAAGCATTTGTGATGTCCACCTTGGTTATTCACAAACCAAAAGCCCATCTGAGGGTGAAAAACGACTCCATTGTAAAACAGGGCAGAATCAGAAAATGATTGAGGTGAGACAAATCTATTACGGGCCACCAGTCTCTGGTTTTCTTGGGGATGACAAACAGCCTGGAATAAAAGTCTGGAGAAAGATGATGGACAGGTCGATAGACTGTTGAAACAGTAGGTCATGTACCACCTTGGACAGATGCTGACTGGTAGTAGGATACCGAGGTATTGGGAAAGAAAGGGGTACCTGAGACAAAGGAGGGGAGGGGGAATTGTAGGATAAAACCTGAATAACCCACGGATGTGTGGTGAAAGGTCACCACAGGGGAACAAATTTGTACAAATGAGCTACCACTGGACTGGGAGGTCCCCTCACCACATACAGGAATTCACCTCGAGGGGGATATGATGTCACTGAAAGTTCAACCTCTAGTTTTGCAATTGTGATATAGTGCACAGGGAAGCAGGAGTTTCTATCATGAGCTGCTGAGGTCTTGAGAAGAAAGAAACAATCCAGATAAATGAGAAGATAGGTTTGGTGGTACAGTGTGCAAGTGATGTCGACAGTGAACAGATCTGACCAATGACACCTGCAGGCCAAGAGGAGAAGGAAATACACTTTAAGGGATAGGTAAACAAACAGTACGAGGCAATGGGCTCAAACAGAGATAAAGTAAGGGAATAGAGTACCATGTTAATGTCCCAATCTGAAAGTACTAGACACCTAGGTGGCAGCAGTATCTGGAAAGAATGGATCAAAATGGCAAGTACAAAAATAAAGACCCTGCTTTAATGAGAAAAACAGAAAGTATAGGATATGGCTGCCCGATAACCCGATATCAAGGAGACCAAAGATCCCTTCTCAAAAAGCCACGTAAGAAACTTGGAGATACTAGCAACCATAGAATGAGAAGCTGAGATACCCATAGCCAGGGCCCAAGTGCAAAAAACATTCCATTTATGCTGATACACAGCCATGGTTGAAGGACGAAGGGAATGAGATAAATGAAATGCTACCTGAAATGAGATACCAGATCTCCTTGCCAGGACCAGACAAATACCAGGCATGATGATGGAGGACATGAAGTAGAAGATGCAGAACTGGTGACTAGGGTTGATGAAGAAGGTTGGGGAATAAGGGAAGAGGAAAAGGAGAGACATCTGTAGCTGGAGTAATCGAGGAAACCATGGTTGAGTGGGCCAGTAAGGAGCAATAAGAAGGACTTTGCATGCAGTGGTATGGATGAAAGAGACTACCTGATGAAATAATCAGTTAGGAGAATAGACATAAAGGAACTTGTTCAATCAATCCTGACTTAAGGCATCTATAGCCAAAGTCCGAGGATGGAGAACCAGGGACCAAAACAAAGATAACTAGTGATTTAGGGCAGTAGCAAATGCATCAATATGAGGAATACCCCACTGATTGTAAAGCCACCAAAAAATGAGGGGATGAAGGGACCTCTCCGTCAGGTAAACCCGGTTGGGTCAGGAAAGATGATCCACAACAAGGTTGTTGAAAGCACTCAGTACCCAAAGACCATATTCCCTTATGAGCTGATAGTGAAAGAGCCGAGAGGGTGTTCCAAACAGCAAGTTCCATAGAACAGAGTTGGAGAGGAGAAGGTTGGGCACGACTGAGATGGGTGTTGAAAATAACACCCAGATGAACGAGAAACTGGTTAGTATGATGGAAGGACTTCTCCAATTTGATCATCCATCCCACCCAAGCAGCTTAGAGGAGCAGATGAGTATGACATTTGGAATGAGCAAGAAGAAGACAGTCGTCCATGTAAAAGTGATGCAACCCTAGAGCATGAAGATGTAGAGCAAAGGTTTGCACCACCTGATAGAAAAAAAACGGTGCCAAAAGGGTAGGGCATGAAATTGGTACAATACTCTACATTGGACAAATCAAAGGATGAGAACACTTTGAAATGGGAATATGCAGATAAGCATTGGAGACGTCCATCTTAATCATCCAAAGACTCGGAGAAAAAGCCCACCAAAAAGTAAGGTAAGATTCCATGGTGTAGCATGAGATATGAACATATCAGATGGGACAGGTCATTGACCAGCCTCTATTCCCCTGTCTTTTTGGGAACTACAAACAGGCGCGAGTAAAATCCCCAAAACCGCATTTAGCAGGACCGATAACCTGATGTGTGAGGAGGTCATGCACTGCCTTGGATAGATGCTGGCATGACAAGGGATCTCGAGGAGGAGGAAAGGAAATAAGCATGTAGGACAAGGGAGGAAGAGTATCACAAATCCCTCTTAAAAAACTCAGTGAACCCAAACACTGGAGATGAAAGGGCTCCACCGATGAAGGTCACCA